CAAACATGGCCATAAGAAACACGAGGGAGGTAGGTTTTTGAAAAAACTAAAAAAGTGGCTTTTTTAGGTAAACTTAAACCCAGAATAGCGACAGTGTGTGGTTAGCGAAATAATAAAAAAAWAYAGACGGTAAATATTTTTGTTCAAGGGGAAGATATACGGACGATTTCGTTTAAACACCGTATGACTAAATGTTTGAATTGAATTTGCTCGTATTTCGCTATAAAAACTAAAAAAAGTGGCTTTTTTTAGGTAAATGTATCACGATCGTCTGACAGCTATATAACGCGGTAGACGCTCTCCGTCGCTTCAGTGTCTCGTTGACTATTGCAGAGCACACATCACAGATAACACCGGATGTCGCGGATATTGTATTCTAATTAACGATTTTTTTTCCGTCTTAAATACTCTGCGTAAATAAACCAACACGTCGTCGAACACTTTGCATCCGTTTCACAAAACAGAAGGTATATTCGTAAAAACTCGCGCCCACACGCGGCGCGGGTTACGTTCCGCAGAAGTGACGACGCGGTACGTACGTCGGGTCTAGTGCGCAGATGGCAAAGTTCCAGTGACCAAATCCTCAGGGATGGTCCCGCGTTACGGGTGTATCGCACTTTCGTCACTTTCGAGTGGCGTCTGAGCTGCCCGTCTCGCGTGCCACAGTCATGACCCGACAATGCGTCCGCGCCCGTCCGAATCCGATCACATTCGGTGGCTGCGACTTGTCGTTGAATGACATACCTGTTTTTTCTGTTCGAAAACCGCAATCCCGTCGACGTGCGAGGTATTTCACTTTCCCTATACGTGTTCGGAGCACATCCCGTTAGCAATTAAACCGTTTTTTTTTCATACCTATTTTTCAAAGCCGTATACGTTTATTCATTACTATTCTTGTGATAGTAAAATAACCAAGTTACCGGTTAACTGAAAAGTGTTGGAATTAAAAATATAAAAAAAGGTCCCAATTACATAATCGCGATTACAATATTTTATAATTAATATAATACAATATTATAATATATAATCCAGGACGACGGTAGTCTTATTTTTCAATGAGAAAAAACGAAGAAAACGGAGTATACGTGAAAACACGCAGTTCGACTCGTGATTTTCACCTCCCCCCCACCTCTCTTCACCACCAAAAAATCATTCCCACCACAGACACACACACACACACAGAATAATTATATCATCATATTACTAAAACGACGATTTCGTTTTAACACCTTATGACTAAATGTTTGAATTGGATTTGCTCGTATTTCGCTATAATATTATCGATTTCTCGAAAACATATAGGTGTATCGAACATAGTTTTCTATTCTCTACCTATAGTTATCTAAAATGTTTAATTAAATTATCATACCTCATTTTTCTTATCACGTGGTCAAATATACATTTTGTAAATTGTACATCAGTCCGAGGATCATGGGCATGTGTTATATTATGTGTCTTTTTACAAACTACAYCATGCGTTTCTTGGAGGTTCAGTAATCTCCCTATTTTRTCGAACTTTCCGATATCGGTTTCGAATATTATCTCTTTATTTGCTAGWTTTTCTAACCTTATACTGAAATTTTGGTCGAACCTCGTGTCGTAACAAGTAATGTTAAGAA